GAGGGAGGGAGGGAGGGAGGGAGGGAGGGAGGGCGAGCGAGCACCCTGGGCCAGGGCAGCCAGGGCTACACAGAAAAACCTATCTCAAAAAAAGAATAGATAACTAACTAATCTTAAAATTACCCAAAGCTAAAGCATTTCACTCTGAACTGTAGACCTGTGCAGCTTCTGGCACTTACCCACACTGCTGAGGAACATAGTAAGGTAGAGAATCCTCACAGACTTCCATCTACTCTTGTAATGCTCTTGGGTTTCTATCACGTCCTGTTCTCTAGGTGGAAAGAAGAAAGGGGTTAACAGAGTTGAGACTCCCTAATCTCAGAACTCCAAATCCACAACAGTATCTGCCGGTGGGGATTCCACCACCTGACTTCAGTGAATTGCAGCAATATGCACGTGTGCCATCTCCTCCAAAGATCCAGGAACTAGAAACTCCCATGCATTTCAGCTAATGCACAAGGTCTGGATCTCCTCCTGATCACTAGGAGCAGATATTTATGCATTAAGAATTTTACTTTATCTCTAAATATATGAAAGTTATGGGCTACACATTGGTGACACATGCCTCTGATCCCAGCACTCAGGAAGCAGAAGCAGGCAGATCTCTGAGTTGGAGGCTAGCCTGGTCTACAATTGAGTTCCAGGACAGCCAAGACTACACAGAAAACCCTGTCTCAAAAGAAAAAAAAAAAGTATTGGCTAAGGTTACACTAATTCACCTCTGAAAGGGCATTTTAAATGTCACTGGATTGTAGGACTGTATTAATGCACCAGTGTACACAGTCATTTAGAAGATACAAGATACCTTTAAAAAGGAAAACAGTTTTCAAAGCAATTATTTTACTTTTTTTTTCTTTTTCAAGTTTTCATGTTTATATGGTGTGCATGTGCATATGGTGGCCTGATGGCAGATATGGCCAGTCTGGCCAGCCAGGGTGCTCTGAGACCCCTGTTTCTTACTTTCAATGCCGGACTTACAGGTAGGCCATCATAACCACATGACATTTACATGGTTTCTAGGGATCCAAACTCTAGTCCTTTGTTGCACATAAAGCATTTTAACCACTGAGCCATGAGCCTGGCTCTCCTTTTCTATTGCTACATGCAAGAGAAATGTGTTAATCTAACAGGATGAATGAACAAACTTTCTCAAGAAAAGTTACACAAACTAGCTACAAGAAATAGATCTCCATTGGGGCTGGAGAGATGGCTCAGAGGTTAGGAGCACTAACTGCTCTTCCAAAGGTCTTGAGTTCAATTCTCAGCAACCACATGGTGGCTCACAACCATCTGTAATGGAGATCCAATGCTCTCTTCTGATAAGTCTGAAGACAGCAAACTCACATATATGAAATAAATAAATAAAAATAAATAAAATAATTTTTAAATAAAAAATTTAAAAAAGAAAGAAAGAAAGAAAGAAAGAAAGAAAGAAAGAAAGAAAGAAAGAAAGAAAGGAAGGAAGGAAGGAAGGAAGGAAGAAAGAAAGAAATCCCCCACAAATGGGATATATTGAAAACTAATTACTATAAGGATGGTGAGATGGGTAAAGGTTCCTGCCCAATGAATGACCTGAATTCCTTTTCTACAACCCATATAGTAGAAATAGAGACCTCTACAGGTATACCATGGCACATACATGCCTACATACACACAAAAATGAATGAGCAAATACAATAAAGATCTAGTATTCTATACTTACTCTCATGTTTCTGGCATTCATTCTTGATGGAAGCATATTACTTTTCCTGTGAGCTGTTCTGACTGGAATGATGTAACCTAAGACAGTGCCACCTGGAGCACTGCCCTTTTCTCTGACATGAATTGCCAAATAAGTTCTACTTGTGGACCAAAGAGCTTATGGTGATACAACAGACTGGGTTTTGTCTTCTGAATAAACTTATAGCCTGGACTAAAAGTGAGTATATAACTGACATCCTACCTCTGTTAGGTGATACCTGAGTGTTTATGTTTATTAAATGACTACACAAGTACCAAGCAGAGTTGGCAAATGTAGGTACTACTCTTTCTACAAACTCAGAAACACTTAACAGAAAAAAATGTCCAATTATATTCCAAGACTATTTTCTTTTGGAGAAAAGGCTTGGTTGATTTGTTTTTGTTGTCATTGTTGTTTGTTAAGAGATGGTTCTATGAAGCCCAGGCTGGCCAGAGTATAAATCCTCTTCCCTCACCATGATGTCTTGGTCCCAGAATATTTTATGAATAGACTGTGATGTTGTCAAATTTAATCATCATTGAAAAGCTTTCATTGTTCAAATGTAATGTGCTTAGAAATGGCAGAAAGAAGCTGGTAGCAGCACATGTCTTTTGACCCCAGCACTCAGGAGGAAGAGGCAGGTGGATCTCTGTGAGTTCTAGAGCAGCCTAGATCAAGTTCCAGGACAGTCAGGGCTACACAGAGAAACTGTAAATCTCAAATAAACAAACAAGAAATGGTAGGGAAGAAGAAAAATGTTTAGATCTACTGTCTGCCAAGGATATTCACTACTGATATATGTGTGTTACATTTTTATTATACTTACTCATTTTTATTTATTACATATGTGCTTGAGTGCTGGAGCATGCATGTGGAGGTCAAAGGATAAACTCAGAGTCAGTTCTCTCTACCCAGTAGATCCAAGAATCAAAGTTAAGTTCATCAAGCTCAGAAGCAAGTTCCCACATCCACTGAGCCATCTTTCCAGTTCCCATTACATACATTCTAAGTGCTTAAAACACTGCATATATAATACAGTGACCTCCACACAGACCAAAAAAGATAAACTCAAGATTCATTGCATTACAAAATCAACATACTTGAATTTAATGTACACCATTGCAGTTAATTACATACTGAGAAAAGCATGCATCATTGAATCTCGGAGTATGGATTCTTGTATCAATTTAATACTTTGTTAGTATTATACTTTTTAGAGACCCATTATTAATCTCTGATGATTAGGAATTAAACACATGATTCACTTTATAAGAAGGATCAGGGTGGTGGTGGCATACACCTTTAGTCTTAGCACTCAGGAAGCAGAGACAGGTGGATCTCTGTGAGTCTGAAGCCAGCCTGGGCTACAGAGAGAGTTTCAGGACAGCCATAGTTACATAGTGAGGCCCTAGATTAAAAAAAAAAAAAAAAAAAAAAAAAACTCTCCTAGCCAAAAGGCAGTTACATGTTCAATGCAAACCTTGGCTATGTAGTGGATGCAGGACACCCTGGACTATAGGGTGTCTCACAAAGGAAACAAAAACAAGCTCTTCTTGCCAAGTCTATAATCCTAGCACTTAAAAAAACGGAGGCATAACAGGTGTCTCAACACTAGGCAAGGGGATCAGGAATTAAAGGATCATCTCTGGGGCTACATAGTAACTTCAAGGCCAGCCTGGGCTCTAAGACACTCTGGAAAGAAAACTGGGCAAGATGCTGAGAAGATGGCAAGCTCCACATCAGCCTGGGATAGACAAGACTTTGACTCCATTTTTTTTTTGAAATTTTCTGTTACTTTTTATTTTACTTTTATGTGCATGAATGTTTTGCTTTCATATGTATCTGTGTACTGTTCAATCTGACATTCCCCATCATGGGGGCTGCCAGCCTGCACTTCTGATGGAATACACTAGCATTTCTCCGTATTACTTATGAGACAGTCTTGTGGCTAAGAAACAGTCCATGGATCTAGATTGTGAGATAGCCTTTAGGTACAATACCCAGACCTAGTAGTCATAGTCAGTTGTAACATGAGCAGAGATAGGTCCAGGAAAAGTTTGCTTTGTCTTCTGATATGGGATTTCTCTATATAGCCCTGCTGTTCTGGAATTTAATATGTTGCCCAGGCTAACCTCAAACTTACAGAGATTCGCCTGCCTCTGCCTCCCAAGTGCTGGGACAGTTCTTCTAAACTAGAGTTTAAAACAGGATAGAACCAACACATGAACAGTGTGAGGCTTGTATGAGTGTGTATGTGTGTTCATTACATTATCAGAACTACTAGAAAAACAATGACTACAGAATGTAAATTGTATAACACTCTTTAATTGGTGTTTCTAGTTATATTGTTGGAGTTGTATAAGGGATGGATTTGTTCTCGGAAACAGGAAGACTGCAATAACACACTCATAATACCTGAGACTTACTTCAGTTTGGCAAAAGATACTGTGTAAAAAGACATCTAATTGGTGTAGAAAAGAGTAATTGGAAAGGTATTAGGTATTACTAAATTATTTCAATCTTCCTATGTATTTGAAATCTTTTAAAGTAATAAATTTTTATTATGCTGTTTTTTACCTTCGAAGAAATAGCAGCATATGGCTGTTGATTTACTACATTTATTGTACCGTTTTCATTTTGATGACACAAACACGTTAGATGGCTGAGACTGAGTTTTACAGACTTCTGCTTTACAGGGGCGTAAGAAGAAATACTGAAGCTGGATGTCATGGAACATGCCTTTCATCCCAGCACTCAAGAGGCAGAGACAGCAGGACCTCTGTGAGTTTGAAGGTAGCCTTGTCTACATAGCACTTCCAGGCCAGCCAGGGCTACACAGTGAGACCCGGTCTAAACAAACAAACAAAACCTAAAACAAACAAGCAAGCAAGTAAAAGAACTACTGTACTTATTTCCAAGGGGATTTGCTTAACTTTTACCTTCTATCTACTATTTCTGCTATATCCTGGCATTCATTTTCCTGCTGGAATTCTCTTTCAAGTAAAACTGTGATGGTCTAGTATTTTGAAAACCACAGCTCCAGATGGCAGAATGTTTAACAAATGTATGACTTAAAATCCAGGAAAAGTAGGTAATACACTGGTGTGAACTGAGTACCTAGGTAAAACTTAATATGAATAAATAAATTTTTGATTCCGTGGGCTTTCTTGCACAGAGTCTGGGACAGAGCAGCACTGTACTTTCAAAATTAAGCTCTGGACTCACTACAGCCAGACTCAGGGCTGGAGCACAAGAAGGGTGGGCGTCCTGAGAAAGCAGTATGAATATAACTGGAGAAATAGAAATGACAGAACTGAAAGGTGTGCACTGTAATACACTGTAAGACAAGCATACTAGCATTCTTGGGAGGGAAAGCAGGAAGACTCTAAGTTCAAGTTCAGCATCTACCAGACTGAGTTATGAGCCAGCCTGAGGTTCAAAATGAGAACTTACTTGAAAGGAAGGAAGAAAGGAAGGGAGGGTGGGAGGGAGGGAGGAAGAAGACGGGGGGGAGGAAAGGTAACGCAGACATGAAAGGACAGGCAATGCAGTAATATTTCTTTCACAGACTAACATTGAAATAAGAATCTGAAGTATCCATAGCATTTCAGAAAACCCTCAGGTAAGGCTAGCAAACTATAATCTGTAGGTCAAATCCAGACATCATCTGTCTTTAGCTTGAAACCTAAAACTAGTTTGCAGGTGAATATTTGTTACCAGATAACAAAAGACTATCTTCAAAGACCAATTTTCTCATCAATAGACCAACCTACTCACTAAATAATGCACTCATTTAGTATGATTTGTAGATTTTCTCTTCTGACTATCTATACTGTCCATGACTTTGCCTTTTGGCGTGAACTAACAAACCTAACCTATCTACCAATGGGACTATTACAGAAAAGTGGTCAGCCCCTATTCTCTTAAATAAAATTCATAAAGTAAGTCAGCTGAGAACACTAAACACTCAAGAAAAGAAGAAGAATCTAAGCCAATTAGATCAATAAATCATGATTAACCAATCTTGTTAGCTTCGAAGGGCTGCTGGCTAACTAAACTGAACTTTGTACAGGAATGTAAAAGTGAGCAAACCCTGTAGTTAGTCATAACTAGGTTATCAACTTATGATCTTAAAGATAGCATGTTGAATTGTTCTGAAAATATTTCCTTTTAATTTTTAAAATACTAAATATAAAACCTCAATCTAATGAATTCTGACAGGAACATCTGATTATAGATGAATCCTAACACAATCACTTATTTAAAAGGGAGAGAAAAGTAAGAGAAAATATACTTAGATAATCTTATTTGAGTATATTACAACATATACAATCATAAACTCATATTTATATGGTTAAGTGTACATCTATGACTCAAGGATCCCACGATCCTTCTGGAAAACATGAAATATAACAGAAAATAAGCAAGCACCAAAAAGAATGCTAGGAAATGTCACAGATGTACACACTTGACTGACAGGCGGAGCTCTAGCCCCATCAGAGCCTGTACCTCATAAGCACAAAATTCCATTAAGTATAAATAACTGTTTTTCAGAGTCACGGCAAATAATAAGCCTGGAAGAAAAGAAGTCGTTGACAGTAGTTGCAGGTAACATAAACAAGGGTTGCTGACAGATCTCAAAAAGGTGACAAGGGATGATCTTCTAGGAGTGAATAGACAGGACCACTTTAGGGCTGTATGAACTCCAAAAAGATAGCAGCACAGGAAAAAAAAAAAAAAGGCAAAAGCCAACAGCTTCAAAGGCCTCCACAGGCCTGGGGACTGTCTTAGTTAGGGTTTCACTGCTGTGAACAGACACCATGACCAAGGCAACTCTTTTTTTTTTTTTT